TTCACTGCTTTGACGCTTCCTCCGTTTTTCAGAGCATGTTCAATTCTCTCCATGTTATACCTTCTTACATCGCATGCCTTACGTCTATTAATCAACTTCGAAAGCTCTGCCAGTTCTATTTTGTCTGTTGTACTTTACACTTTCATGATTTGACGCTTCTTAATTAGGTTCTTCATTTCCTGGGAAAGCTTGCCAGTGTCCTGTCTAACTACCCTGCCTCCAACTTCCACTGCACACTCCGTAATAAGACTCGTCAGATTATCATTCATTGCATCTACGTTAAGGTTGGTTTCCTCACTAAGAGCCGAGTACCTGTTCTGCAGCGACACTCTGAATTCCTGTACTTTCCCTCTCAGTGCTAGCTCATTGATTGGCTTCTTGCATATCAGTTTCTGTCGTTCTTTTCTTCAAGTCTAGGCGAATTCGAGACCGTACCATTATATGGTCACTACATCGTACCTTGCCAACCACTTCCACATCCTGCACGATTCCTGGGTGTTCACTCATTATAAAGTCTATTTCGTTCTTATTTTCGCCATTAGGGCTTCTCCATGTCCACTTGCGGTTTTCTCGTTTTCGGTAGAAGGTATTCAAAATCCGTAAATTATTGCGTTCTGCGAATTCTACTAGTAGCTCTCCTCTGGCGTTTCTAGTACCGATGCCATAATCTCCTACTGCCTGGTCTCCAGCCTGCTTCTTCCCTACCTTTGCATTAAAGTCGACCATCACTATAGTATACTGTGTTTTTACCTTACTCATTGCCGATTCCACGTCTTCATAAAAGCTTTCAACTGAAGCGTCATCATGGCTGGATGTAGGCGTGTAAGCCTGTACTACCTTCATTTTGTATCTTTTATTCAGTTTAATTACGATACCTACCACTCTTTCATTAATGCTATATTATTCCTCTATGTCGCCAGCTATGTCTCTAGGAATTAGGAACCCCACTCCCAGTTCTCTTCTGTCTGCCAAGCCCCGATAGCAAAGGACGTGCCCATTCTGTAGCACCGTATAGGCCTCCTTTGTCCTCCTAACCTCACTGGGCCCTATTATATCCCATTTAATTAACACTCTTTAGCTCCTCGAATAGTACAGCTAGACTTCCCTCACTAGATAAGGTTCTAGCGTTAAACGTTGCCAAGTTCAGGTTCCAATGGCGGCCTGTCCGGATCCAGAGATTCTTAGCACCCTCTGCTGCGTTGCAGATCTGACCGCTGCCGTGGTCAGTGGCTTCGCAGCTGCTGGGGACTGAGGGCCGGGAGTTATTTGACGTATGCATGTGGGAGGTAGTGGCCAGATACTGCACCAGGGTGGCCAATCCTTCTCCGTTGAGGGAGTGCGTTCCCGGCGGTGGTTACCAATGAGGCCGCACCCCAGGCCTCTTAATGCAGTTCCAGGGCTGAGAATATGTGACCATATAAATATGGCCGGAACTAGGCGACGGCCCAAACTAAAGCTAAACACTCTCTCTCGGTGATGGAATAATTCCTCTCAGGCGGAGAAAGCCTATATATATATATATATATATATATATATATATATATATATATATATATATATGTGTGTGTGTGTGATATATGATATTAATGAGATCTAACGGACAGTAATGCCAAGGAATGTACAGGGGAATTTATTAGAACCAATGAAATGTAAATAAAAAGAAAGAAAAGTGGATGAAAAAATAACCAACCGTGGGCAGGAATCGAACCTACGACCTTCGAATAACGCGTTCGATGCTCTAACCACTGAGCTACCACAGCGGCCTTTCCTCCATTCACTTTTTTGGGCTTATATGTGAATTTAGAAGTAGGAGTGACAGTCAGCGCCATCTATAAGCCAAACAACGAGTGTGAAAACACTCTTATGCGTATATTTCGCGTCACGTAGCTCGTGAACTTATTATGAGCGGGCAGCTGATTGATTGTCCATCTTATACAACCTAAACACACCAAGTCTGCCATTACGAGACCCTCGTTCAATGAAAATAAGCGAAAGAAGTGTATACCTAAGGGCTCGTTTTTCCGTGTTTTAACACAATATTAATGAGATCTAACAGACAGTAATGCCAAGGAATGTACAGGGGAAGTTATTAGAACCAATGAAATGTAAATAAAAAGAAAGAAAAGTGGATGAAAAAATAACCAACCGTGGGCAGGAATCGAACCTACGACCTTCGAATAACGCGTTCGATGCTCTAACCACTGAGCTACCACAGCGGCCTTCCCTTCATCCACTTTTTTGGGCTTATATGTGAATTTAGAAGTAGGAGTGACAGTCAGCGCCATCTATAAGCCAAACAACGAGTGTGAAAACACTCTTATGCGTATGTTTGGCGTCACGTAGCACGTGAACTTATTATGAGCGGGCAGCTGATTAATTGTCCCTCTTATACAACCTAAACACACCAAGTCTGCCATTACGAGACCCTCGTTCAATGAAAATAAGGGAAAGAATTGTATACCTAAGGGCTCGTTTTTCCACTTTTCTTTCTCTTATTTACATTTCATTGGTTCTAATAACTTCCCCTGTACATTCCTTGGCATTACTGTCTGTTAGATCTCATTATTATTGTGTTTAAACACGAAAAACGAGCCCTTAGGTATACACTTCTTTCCCTTATTTTCATTGAACGAGGGTCTCGTAATGGCAGGCTTGGTGTGTTTAGGTTGTATAAGAGGAACAATTAATCAGCTGCCCGCTCATAATAAGTTCACGTGCTACGTGACGCCAAACATACGCATAAGAGTGTTTTCACACTCGTTATTTGGCTTATAGATGGCGCTGACTGTCACTCCTACCTCTAAATTCACATATAAGCCCAAAAAAGTGGATGGTGGGAAGGCCCCTGTGGTAGCTCAGTGGTTAGAGCATCGAACGCGTTATTCGAAGGTCGTAGGTTCGATTCCTGCCCACGGTTGGTTATTTTTTCATCCACTTTTCTTTCTTATTATTTACATTTCATTGGTTCTAATAACTTCCCCTGTACATTCCTTGGCATTACTGTCTGTTAGATCTCATTAATATTGTGTTAAAACACGGAAAAACGAGCCCTTAAGTATACACTTCTTTCCCTTATATATAACCATGACCGTCCCTCCCCCCAAGCTGTTCTGTTCAGCTGCAACATGGTTGATTTACGACATGTACTTTACATCTAAACTCCAAGCACGGTCTTTTGCACAAAAGGTATTCTCTGGTCTCTTCTACTAAACTGGTAGTAGAGCCCTATTGTGGCAATTTGAAATGTGAAGAGGTTATGGTAAATAAGAAAGTTCGAAAAGGAGGGAAGCGTTGCTATTGAAGAATATCCATAAAATCAGATTGACTGTAACGGTATTTTACGTTACCGTTACTGTGTAAAAAAGTGTTACAGTTTCAAGTTCGTCTCACTAAAATGTAACTAATTACAGTTACAAGTTACTGAAAAGAGTAACTAGTTAACGGTAATGCATTGCTAGTAACTAGTTACTGCCCAAGACTGCTTCCTTGGCACAAAAGTAGCACTAAGAGATCTTGGGACCGCTATTTCAGCAATCATAGACTTGATATTTTCGTACCTGCCAAGTCTCCTGGATTGTCCGGGAGACTCCCGGATTTTTACACTTTCTTTGGTTTGTACGGTTGTCATGAAAAATCTCCCGGAAATCGAAATTTTTATGCGTGATCTAGCCGCATTGACAAAATGCAGGTCAGTGCACTTCACGCTTTTTGCGAACCCACTGCATTTTATTATAAATGAATTTAGGATGCGTTCATTTAAACGTACAGTTGTCTCAGTGATATGAAATCGTGGCAGATATGCGTGAAATTCCCCAGCCAAGTTCACCATGTTCATTGGGCGTAAATTCAAATGTTCCGAATCCTTTTCCGAAATGCGGCGCGTGATGTGAATTTCAGTACTGAAACCGTCGAACCAAGGCCGACCGAGAGCAGGTTGCTCGAAGCTTCAAAAGTACGCGTGCAACCAGCGTATGCGTTGTCTTCTACAGTGCATGTGGTTGTTGCCACAACCACCGCTGTGGGCGAAATCACGGTCGTTCTTGACACGATTATGTATGGTGACAACGTTACTGACAGTACTCCGAAAGTGTGCGTGCGTCTGACGCCTGACCAGTTAAAACAATGCTTCTTACCGCAACTCTGCTCCTTACCGCAAAAGGAAGCAGCCCACTCCTTTCGTTATTACGGCCATTGCGATGAGCGAAGTGACCTTTGTGCACTTTTTAACCACTGTAACTTCAAAGCGAACTTGCAGTGGCAGCACAAGACGTACAAGGTGCCCCAATCACAAACTAAACACGCATGCATCGCAACGACAGTGGCGACGACCTTTATAGTGCACCCTCTGCGCCACTTTAGCGCCATCTCGCTAGTGATGACGAAAGGTCGCTGAAGTTGCCAAGATGTGAGGACTGCCAACGGTATGCAGTATATATAAGTACCTCGCCGTTTGTATGCTGAACAGTGTTACGCTCGGTGCTTGAGTGGTTTTGCGCCATGCGTCATTGAGCGAAAGGTTGTAGATTCAATGCCCGGCAATATAATTTTTTCTTCTAGTTTTTGTAATTTGCTATGTAGCAACGTGATGGCGTCCGGCATAGACGTGCCATCGTCACTGGTTTAATGTGCAGACGAAGACATACAGTTGAGGACAGAAGCGAGATGCGAAAGAAGAGAGATGGCTGGCTGGCTGTGGCGTCCAGCCAGCCAGAAGTATACGAACATTCTATGCGCCTCGCGCCATGAGCCACTGGCGCTCGTCTTCTTTTTCTCCTCTTGGCTGGCCGCTACTAGCGTTGTGCTACAATTATAGTTTATATTTCACATCATATATGTGGAGGAAATGTCAGTGGAGCTGTAGTAGACCCCGCATAAAATACTTTCGTATGAAAAAAAGTGGGGCTAATTTTCAGTTGCAGCATCTTTTATGTCTTTTTGGCAGTACGCCTCAGTGTGGCACCAAGAATGCTTTCTATAGCGGTGATTCTTTTCTTGCACAGATGCCAGTGGCCTGAAAGAGCCTGAGAAGGTTCGTGCCTGCAAGAAGCAAGTGCTGGAGGCCCTTCAGGCATACACTATATCTCACTACCCATCACAGCCATCCAAGTTTGGTGAGCTGCTACTGTGTGTGCCCGAACTCGAGCGTGCCTGCCAGGTGAGCAAGGAGTCCCTAGCAGCATCGCGGCGCATCGCCTCTTCTGGTGGTGCTTCATCTTCCTCTGCACCTATGGCTGATACGCAAGCTCCTAGCTTCAACCTTCTCTTTGAACTCTTGCGAGGTGACCACTGAGTGCCCATTGGGTGCCCACTGGGTGTTCATCTTTGTGCACCTGTACATAGTGCCCTTTGGTGGATGTGCAGAGACCACGGAAAGGGAGAGCATGAGACGGGCAGACTGTGTTCGCTCCTCCCCCACCCCACCCCATGTGATGTGTTGTGCTCTTCTTCCGTGAGAAATAGGACATTATTCTGGAAGATGAGGTGACGTCGCCTTCTAGATTTATTTCCTCATTTAATTGTGCTACTGCAAAAGTGATGTGCTATGTCTCCTCCTCTTTTTGCATATTACTACTTGCCAGTTTCCACTGACTGTCCTTCAATTCCTAGTGCTGGTCTTCCTTCCTAGTCTTCCCCACTGCTGTACCCTTCTTTGCTAGCCATCAGCTGCAAATGAAAGACTTGGGGAAGAGAGAGTGAGGCGTTTTCCCACTGAAGGCTTAGCCACACTGTTTAATCATCATGATTCTATTTTTGCTTGGTCTCTGTCACTTCAAAAGGAAGAGATTCTAGGTTAAGACTACTACACATTGCATCGTTGTTGTTGCAGAGAGCCCTTATCTTTCTTTCTCTCAATCTCTCCTTTAGATACGAAGCAGCTTATGCTCGGGGCTGTGTCCGTCCCTCGGCGACCGTCCGCTCCCCCACTGCGCATGTGCCAACTTTCCCCCCTCTCCTCGCATGAGCACAAGGAGGTGGGGTGGAGGAGGTGGCACAGCGGTGTCTCCGCTTCGTTTCTTTTCTTCTCCCGTTCATCTCCTCTACAGCTGTGCGCTCGTATAAAATGCTGCGCGCGCTCGTTCCGTTGCACTTTCCTAGCAGCGCTGGGTGTTCACTTTGCGGCACACACGGTAATACACACAAATAGAGGGGGGGGGGGGGGGGGGTAAGATAAGTGGTACACAACATACTACACACAACTCCACAGGCAAATTAAACATAGTACCGAAACCTACAAATGGAAACACAAGTGAACACCAGCGCTGCTTCGCATCTCCACATGGTTCCTTCCCTTTAGTGAGAGATGGTGCTTGTAGCCTTTTTTTACTTACTTTTTTTGCTAAGTGTTGAAATTATTATTACATCAATAGAGCATGAATTTGTCTTACTCTTTGGCTCACAATCAATGGATTTTAGCTGTTGTCATTTGGAGTCAAGGCACAAACCACAAAGCTGTAGCTGTGGCCACAGTGGACTTTCTTCTATTTGCAAATTGTGTTGTTGTACCTTGTTTACTTTTAATGCTGTGTCTCAGATTAATATTCAAAATGGCAATGGCAGCTTTTCTTTATTATTTTTTAAATAAATAAATAGACTGTGCCAGAGATATGACAGCATAACTTCATTGACCATTATTATGCAACATTTTTCTCAGGATCATGATGACTTTAAAGCTCATGCAGATGTTCATTTTGTAGTTGTTTAAAATGCAATTGATCCCCATTGTCATTTCATTTGAAGGTCCCAGTTTACAAGGAGGTTCTTTAGCATTTCCTAGTTAACATTGTTAACGCTTACAACAGATTTGCATTTTGAGCAGGTGTGAACAAGGGCTAGCCATGTTGTTTTATAGGCACATTAAACATGTATGTGGAAGGTAAACCACTAATTACTCAGCTTTACACTGGGACCTTTTCTTGTGCATGGACATTAAAAGTAGTGTTACATTGAACGAATTCCATTCTTACTGAGGCATTTACTTAGTATACATTAATTTTTTTGCATTACAGGAAAAACTTCATCTTCGTGGTACTTTTTTTTTATTTAGCCCACATCTCATCGGATATTTCCGAAACCTCCTTTACACATCGTAGTATAACTCTAGCATACTGGCACTCAGCAGGAAAAGAAAATTTTATAGATTTTATATCTGCTTTACAATTTTATGAAGTTATACAAACTCTTTTTGAATAGGCTGTCTTTCACCACTGTCCAGAGTGTGCTACAGCATTATTGCTCCTTCGCTGATTTAGTTCTCATGATGCATGGTGAACCAGGCTTGTGTATTTTTGCCATTGCTTGCCATACAAAGTATAGTCGACTCAAACAGTGTTGCATTGTGTGCACATAAAAGTGAGAAAGGCACTTATGCAAAAGCTTCTGCTTGTGGGTGTTTCGACATGCTTGCATTCTTCTTCTTTTTTTTTTTAAGTTATAGAAAATGCTCATGTATAGGATGCCGTACATCATCAGCTTGTGCCAAAATAAGCCCTGCATTCTTCTGTGCTTCTCCTTTGAAGTTGCACTATTATTGCTCATTTCCACTAAAGCTTCATGCTCTTGTACTGACATTTTTTCAGTAATTGCTGTTGGCTGTTCCTGCTATGTCTTGAATTTATTAATGAGCTGCCATGGTTTCCTTTCATTTGAGTCATTGAATGAATGCCACTCTTGAATGAACACATGTGCACAAGTTTGAGCATTGCTTATGTGACCCATTGGCTAAGCAATATCTGCACAATGCAAAGAATGCTCCTGCACATTTGAATTGATGTCAAATGCACCTGCAGGATTTGCTTCTGCTGCTTTACTCATTTTTACTGTTTTCCTTCTTTCTTGTTTGCATTGCACAAGAATCAAGGAGGCTTTTATGTGAATTTCCACCCATAATACGAACATAGCAATGAGTGGGAGTTCTAGGCACAGCTTTTAAGGTTAGCTCTTTTGTCCACTTTCTCCATACTTCAGTCTTTTAGGGTAAGATTTCTGGCCTATGACGCTTTCAGTTTCATCATCTTCTTTTTTTTTTTTATCGCAACTTTCGCCTTCGCATTTATGCCTTGGAGTGTCCATTGGTCATGTATTATGTGCTGCATTTCTTACCCTTTTGGCCTGAAACTTTGTTCTTTCAGTGTCTTGTGTGCCTGTAAAAGCGGTCTCGCACAGCCGCAAGCCAAAACTCCTGCTGTATTTATTGTACATAGAAATGTTCTTAGAGAGAAGTCAGAAGGTGGCCAAGTCCTGCCACTTGACTCTTAGTGTTTAAAAAGTTTTTTAATGCTAGTTTTGACTGCAATTTTTATTAAGCCTCATATTTAGCTGTACAGCGAAGGTGAGAAGGAGTGTGAATTTTTTTTCTTTTAGAGAACAACACTCAATCTATGCAGACACTAAAAACAAATTCATTATTTGGCATCATTTGCCTCCTATGCTATTAAGAGTTATTAGTTCTCACTCCTCTTTTCTTATGGTATTTTTCTTATGGTCCCAGTTCACGGGAATCATCTAAACACTCACTACTGCATAATGTGCTGTCCTTGTGTTGTTGTCAGGGACCAAAGTGACTGTGAGCCCTTTTTTTTTCTTTTTTTTTCCTTTTTTTCATGTTCAACCGATACTTCTCGAAGCTGCGACCATTTTCCTTGTCCATGCGGGTTCAAGGTGTCTGTAGCTTTCTTTATAAGAATATGTGCCTGCGTCATTTTTCTTGCCGAGTCTAGAGAAAACAGCACATTTAGAAGTTTCAGATGCTCACTTCATTTTTGCCAAGAAAGGAAGTATCATTGAAGCCATTTTGAGCAGACCTATTTTGTGCAAGTTTTAATGAATAGAATCGGGCACCTAGAAACACTGAAAAACATTTCTTGTTGGCTGTTGTGAGGCATTCTTGATAATCAGTGGTGCGCTTTTTTGCACACGCACTTTTCTTGGGTGCAGTTAACAGTGTTATTTTCCAAAGAAGCACCTCTGTAAAGACCATTGCCTTGCTCTTTGATTTGGCTTCTTACATTGTTTCTGCATTGCCATGGAAACATGAGTGCCAGGAGGGTACAGAATGAATATAATCTGAAGCCATGCTTGTAACAGTTAAGTTCAAGTGTTGTATATCACACTTGTCTCAGAACAGCTGAACTATCATAATTCACAGCAGAAAAGAAGTCACAATAAGACTTGTTCTGCCTTTGGTACCTCTAGAGTGAGGATCTAGCCAATTTTACATTCCCATAATGTGTATCATTGTCTTACAGTGAAATTGTGCAGCTTTTATACAGAAGGTATTGTTTTAGACTTATGCCGAGTGATGTGAGCGTAACTTTAATGTATCAACACAGCCCGCACGTTGATATATTTATGTGCTTTAGGAGAAGGGCACAACATTTACCTTGAAAAAAAGAAAAGTATGCATTATTCACAGTGCCTCGTAGCTAAAACTTTGTAAAGGATTCTGCTATGAGTCACATTTGTCGAACTTCAGCTGTCAGTGCACCGACTTTTGTCATTTGAAATGTCGCATGTTTACAAGAAAGACTATTTTGTGTGTCTGTGTGTGTGTGCTTGTATTTAGTGCTTTGTTAAAACAAAACCTTACCGGTGAATTGTGCCAGTGGTGATATAGCTTCCAAGAAGTTCTCTTGAATGAATTGCTGACTGTCGACGGCCTCAGGTGCAGTTTTGAGGCGTAATAATTGTTTGTGTATGTTTGCACGCAAGACATCTTGTGTTTCCATCACCATGTTTTCTACAAGGGCAGCTTGGCTTGTGATCTTTTCGACTGCGAATATGTGTTATATGTTAGTCTCACTGGTACTATACTGCCATGATGATCTTGGTTGTGGAGTAGCTTGATCAAACATTTTGCTTACCGTGTATGTCACCAGTCCTGCGTGTGCGTCCGAAACTGAGATAGATTTTTGAAGAAAAAAAAAATGCAGCCAGGAGCAATAGTACTTGCCTATTGGTTGAGCGGTCTCCTGTGTTGTACAGTGCTTTAGGTTGCAGCTTTTATCGACGTTAAGCATAAATTTTTGTGCTGTTTTACAGCAGTTTGCAGAAATAGATGAAAACAGCAGAATGTTATCATCTCCAAGCTGCAGAACTGAAAGGTAACTATTGCACCATTGCTATGTTATTGAGCAGAAAACAGTGCAAGAAATGTATCAGATTTTTTTTTTGCCACTGTTTTTCACTTTAACAACTTTACAGTGATGTACCGACTGGCCTTACAGTCAATGCTTCTAACTACTGCACTTCAAACATCAAGTGTCGGGCTCACTAAATGATGCATTGCACCTTTACCTTGCCTTTACAGTTTGCACAGAGGCATTGGGTCACTGTTATAGTAGCAATGACACACAATGTAATATAGCCATCTTCGTAAAAATAATGCTGCCGGTACTATTACTTTGAGGGTAGACAGTGGTCCTCTTGGCCAATCTATAGATTACCAAAAAAATTTACTTTTTTTGCGAAGAAATGTCCCAGAGAATCTGTTACTACAATAAAAATTCACAGTTTCGCCAAAAGGGCGAAGCAATGAATACGATAGCAGCATATTCGAATGTTTTATGAAGCAAGGCTAGCATTTTTAGAAGCAATATCAATTGTAGGAAACATGCGCTTGCTACAATTTCGCGGGAATAGTCAGGATCCTTTTTGGGCGACAAGCGTTTCTTTTCTTCCCTGGTTTTCTGGAAACCTGCCACGCGATGATGACAAATGGCCCTATGCGACCGCCATGGCGACAACAAATCCTGTTGTTGCTTGAAAATTGCGTGCATATAGTAGCAGGATGTGACCGTCAGCTGGCGCGGGCAGTTTTGTGACCTTCGCTCGCTGTCTGCTTATCAGCTGCAGGGTCTACACTCGCACCGTTTGTGAGTCGCGTTGTGGCACATAGATAATTTCAAAAGCGTGCCGCGCACATATGAAAAGAAAGACAATGTGGTGCGCAGCAGCGGGCAAAGGGGAGAAAAGAGCTAGTCCGGGGGGGGGGGGGGGGGGGGTCGGCATAATAATTTAAAAAAAATAACGGAAGAGATTCAACGGGCAAGGAGGCGCCATGTGTCAGTTAGCGGGACTGCAGCGAGACTGCAGCGAGACTGCAGCGGATGAATGTAGGGGGTGCGTTTATTACGCGGGGGCAAAATATTCAAATTTTTACGACTGAAGTTGTGGGGCGGGGAGTTTATTATGAGAGTGTGATCTTTATGCGAGTAAATACAGTAAATTAGAATATCTTTCATGGCAAAATATTTTATTTGGCAATAGGTCTGATAAAAAATCTGGTGTTCCTATCCTTCATATTAGACATAGCAATGACTAGTAAGCATGCAGGTCAAATTATTTATTTATTTACAGATTGCCTACTTCGCCATGTTGTCATTACATGTGGGGGGACAAAAGCATAACCAGTAGTGAAGGGAACCCACCACAGCCATTTGCTACTACTCTCAATCACGCATGCATTTCAATTTCTCTTGTTCAAGCAGGATCTAGTGCCAGAAAGCATATGATGGGGTCATAGGTTGGCAACAAACTGAACATTACTACTTGTGCTACCGGCAATATCCAAAAGTAGAAAACGAGAATGAATCCATTTTTTTTATGCTACTGGTTAATCTAGGCATCTGAAAAATCATACAGAATGGGAGCTTATCAATGAAATAATACTTTATTGACATTCTGTGTAAACAATGCTTTTTAAAGCATGCTGTACACATTTATATGCCATATTTTTGTAATGCCATAGAAATAACCGGCAAATTTGACTTGCAACCGCATCTGCTTTACAGTTTGACTTTTGACTCTGTGCAAAATACTGGAAAAGGCTTGATGTGCTGGTGTAAGACAATGCATTATTTGCCACAATTTGAAGCTGTGAAGAAATGGTATTAGGCTAAGTAGTAGTATTACAGTTGTGGTAGTCAAGCTTGTTTAGTCCTATTGCAATCAAGTATTGGTAGGTGGAACACAATTACAGAACAGTGCAACATTTCCTTCAAGTGTGTGAAACGAGACCAGTGAAAAAATGGCAATGACCCGGTGGAATTTTCGCTGCTGCTTCATATTTTTATTGCTCTTACTGCGTATAATAGCCTTTGAAGTGTGCATCATGTATAGTGTCGAAACCGTGATTTGCAAAGAAACTTGTTGCTGTGAAATGCAAGGTCTGCAAATTGTAAATTGGCGTGAAGAACCAATTATTCTGTATTTTAGTCATTGTTTGCTAAATTGTTTTGTTGATTTTTTTGCGTGTCATTTTTTTATTTTAGTGGAGTCTTTAATGTTGTTGAGCCTTTGCATTGACGATCGCAAATGTGATTGGATTTTATTTATAAAGGCATTGGTTCTGAGACGCCGGCAAACGGCAACATTTCACAGATCGAGCAGTCATAAGATTCATATTCTAGTAATGACATGCTATGGCATGGTGCTAGGGAATCATGAGAAACATGGTGCCACATATGTGTTATTCCTCTCCCTCCCCAGTTCTCTTAATTGTTTTTTATATGTGTACGTGTTGCGTGTTCATTCCGTAGATGTTCAATGAAGCGCATGGTTGACCCATTTATTGTGATATGCCTTTAGGTTATATTGTTTCATTGTTCAGTGGGATGTAATTGCTGGCTGTTTACTTTTCTAACTTATTGCCTCTCTGTATGTCTGGTGTTAAATTTGTGCAGTCTTTTTTTTTTCCTGGTTTAGTGTGCATCTGAAAAAACGAACACAATCCAAATGTTGTCACTTGGAACTGTGAATCTCAGTGGCTCTTTTTAGAACTCTTATTATTGTCACCTCCTTTGCATAAGAAACACATGTGCTGACACTCTTAGTGTGTTAGGTGTAAGCTGTTTGAATAATGCAAGAAAAGTGCACTGGCAATGATGTCCTATAATGAGGATATGCAGAAAGCAGCACCATTTTCCTCACATCCAGCTGTGGAAGCAGACTTTTCAGCCTTTCACAGTATTGCCTAAATAATGTTCTTGTAGCTGGCTCCCTATATCCAGAACTTAAGCATGTGCAAATTCGCATTTGTACAAAGTGATGCTCTTGATTTGCGAGCACGGTTTCATCAAGTTTCTGGGAAAAGTCACTTGATGGCCTACAGTGCTGGTGCACAAAATATTTTTTGGTGTCAGTGGTTTGAATTAATATTGAGCTATGCACTTTTATACCCCATGAAGCCTCATCCTCTTTGAGTCATTTTACAGGTGCAGACGCAGAGTTCTGAATCGAATAGTATTTTCGATAAAACGGAAAAGGTTCTTAAAATTGCAGTGCAAAATGGAGCATTCCTAAAAAATTTTTGTGTGCACTTTGAGAATGCCCTTGGTTGAAGTGACACATGCACACAGTGCATTTCATTTTGATGAGGCAACTTTTTGCATATCCTCGGCTTTTAATATCCTCTTTCTTTTACTGCCCAGTTTGCAAATCTTTGTGTGTGGTTGTGGTGCATTATGCAGCTTGTTTCTTCCTTCTGTGCACATGTGTATGCAAATGAGGAGTCTATATCGGAAATCAAAAGTCTTCTCGCACACATCTCTGTATCCCGTCTTGCCGTTCTTGACCAGCCCTCTTGTTTTCTTCATATCATTGAAACATCCCTCCGTCTTTTTAATCTGTACATACGAATGACATACCGCTGAGCCTGTGTTTTTTTATAACAGTGGTAACAGCGAGGGGAGAGAGAGCGTGAAAAGAAAAAAAGCAAAAAGAATTTAGAAACTGTGTGCCTTTGGTACACCTATTTTCTAGACTTTTTTATAGTTTGTATACTGTGGGGCCTAACCCAATTTAATAAAGATTTGCTTTGCATTGGCTTGTTTCTTTTCAGCACACGACACCCACTACTCACATATCATAAGGCACTATCTGCTTCCAATTCTATTTCTCGTGAGTACAGACAATGCCAAAATTGTGCGTCTGCAATATTAATGGATTCAAGTTTCTTTTTTGTTGTTGTTGTATAACAACTGGTACATGCAATGGCTTGAGATAATCACATTCTGTCACAATGAATCTGGTTTCTAAAGATAATAGCATTTCTTAGTCTACCTGGCACTCTGCTATACACGAAATATTTTTCGTGTGCCAGAATACCAGGTGTGCACTGCACATGCAATTCCAATGGAGGCGGAAATGCTGTAGGCCCGTGTGCTCAGATTTGGGTCCACATTAAGAAACCCCAGATGGTTGAAATTTCTGGAGCCCTCCACTACAGCGTCTCTCATAATCATATCGTGGTTTTGGGACATTAAACCCCACATATCTATCAATCAATCACTGCACATGCGTAGAGTGATATAGAAAGCGCCAGCTCCCGCTTGGTCCTTTTGCGTTGATTTGCATGCAGCAACACACCACTGCTGCGCCAGAACCGTGGACTTTCTAAGCTCATTCATGGCCTCCTCGATAGTGTGCCAGCAGGCGCACAATCTCGGAGGCTGTGGCTCGTGAAACGCGCGCAAAGCAAGAGGCGTCTTCTATGCGCCGTAGGTTTTTTTTCTCTCTTTTTGCCCCCCTCGCTGATTTTTGCAGCTCCTGGTCAGCGTGAGACACTCATTAAGGAAAAGCAGCTAGCCATTGCTGCCTTGGTCGAAAAGGGTTGCTGCCCACATGGAGCCACCTTAAAGCTCGCGTCTTCTTGTGAATGTAACTTGAGTTGATCTCTCCTCCCACACAGGGAACTTGAAGTCTAGTTAACTTTAATAATGCAGTGCGGAATGGAGCTTATTCTTCTTTAAGCACTGTGTCAGGGCAGGGGCAACAAGGGAAAAATCGTGTGATTGATTAGTGGAATCGGCTTGGTCTAGTTTCAGTGATACAGTTAGCGAATGTCGATGCGTGCATAAAAACACACAATAAGAACGAAAGAAACTTTTTCACGCGGGTACTTTGGCAGTGGTTTCACGCATGCGAAAATTGACAGTACCAAGAAAAAAGTAAACGACATATGCAGTCATCTCCAATATGAAAGTACCGTGACTGCTTCACTCACATCTACAAGTTTTTTACTCATGGTCGCCAGTGGTATTCTGGCCATATGCGCACCGCTTCATTCATCAATTGTTAGCCTACCCAAGCCGTTTATTACGAACCGAGCACATCTGATTGATTTGTGGGGTTTAACGTCCCAAAACCACCATATGACCGAGCACATCTGAAAGACGTAAGAGAAATAAAAGAGTATACAGATAGCCATATGACCTCAATACTGTTGACTTATTTTCGCTGCTGAGGTAGCATACAAGGCTCATGGGGAACTTTTTGTTGCATACACAAAAAGACGGGTACACACACAAAATATGGACTAAAATTTTGAAACAGGAATTCATACAGACTCGCCCTGCTATCGATTTTACTACAACAAGGCTCACCGAGCGCAAAGCTCGTGCTAAAAATTCCTACATTTGAAATGAAAGCAATGCTTCGTAAACTTGCATAATTCCACACCTATGCATAAAAGGCGCATTATAGAATATGCAACACCAATATCCAGATAGTATGAAATTAGTTATGCACATTCTTTTTGTTAGCTACCCCCATTCTTTCTGTACAAGTTTAACAAGCTGCCTGAACTAAGTTGCGGTAAAAAAATTACAAAATATTACATACACTTATGAAATTCTTCAAATGCAGCGATTGCTAATGTATCTAGCTTGAGGAAAAGCAACGTTCGATAATTATATATAAAATATATACATATAGAGTTAGTTGTTTGGGAGCCAGGTGTGAGCACTGCTCACTCATGCGTCGGCTTTGTTTCTCTGTGCAGGGACCGCTGAACGTCTGCATGAAACGTTTGTACAAGATGAGTGCATTGCTTCACGCTTTCACCATACCAAATGGAAAGTTTTAATAAATAACTCAACTGCATATATTTTCAATGTTCTCAGCGGTAAGCGATCGTGCACTTCCGAGATGTTTACAAAAAAAAATTTATAACGAGTACATGAAATGCAATTGTTTCCATAACAGAGCACCCGACCGCAATTTCCCACGCCTTCTGGGACTCTCTAGTAGTACTGGCACAGTATGTCTGGTCATCTCTAAATAATATATAGAGATGGCCAGCCTGGTAAAGGAAGCCTCTCGTTCCACGGATATGTGTAATCAGCTGCTGTGAGGTGAGAATTTCGGGCGATTAGCTCGTAACATGAAGTTAGGCATACACAATATTGCACTGTTATTGATCGATTCGGTTTGTTCTGGCCTGCGCGTTCGTGAGGTGAATGCCCCAAAGCCTCATAAAACACTGTGTTTAACCATCGGTGTCTCGAGATGTCAACATGAGTGATTCAAAAAGTTTTCACGTGATGAGGCATGATCTGATATGGTAACTTTGGAGTGTATCTGTGATCCGTAGGCTGATCACGGAGGCCATCTGAAAAGAGGCAAGTGGCAGAAACATTGAATCCTGGGAGCAGTGCGAAACCACATTGGGTGCAGAAAGCTTTTGGAGGGGAGGCGGACCAGGATCGATGTGTTGAACTAAGAAAGAGAATTTGGCTTTTGCCTTTGAGTAGTCTTAGGTGAACGCATAACAGATCAAGTGAGTTTTTGTTTCATGTATTTTACCTACGCAGTCAGTTATTCAAAATGTGTAGGTAAATCCCCCATCTTTGAACGATATTGCCCATCTGCACGTTTTCATCACCTGACGGAGACAAGTCATCTGACCACGCATCGTCAGAATCATTTCTGGACGAAGAAAGCTGGTTTGCACTCCAGACGCCATATTATCATCATTAGTTGATAGTTATGCAAATAATGATCATGAGAGAGAGATAACTAGAGAGGAAAGGCAGGGAGGTTAACCAAGCTTGGCTCGGTTGGCTACCCTACATGATCATGAGAAGTTAATGAGTGATGTATACATTCGTGTCCCTCCATGTCAATTTTCGTGTATACCATCAGCGTATCAAGTGAACAGTCCGCGAAGTTATGCGAGTTATTTACTACTTTTTGTACTGCCCGCTTTGCATAAAAAGGCTTAAAACAGCGAAATGGAGAGAGCTGTCTTGTCAAATAAATCCAACGCGCGAATTAAAAGAAAGGATATGGGTGGTGCAAATGCGTTAGAATGAGATAGCCATTTACTACGGGCTTAAATGTCTGCTACATTCTCCCAGTTATCTTTGTGATCTCCAGCTTATTCTCTTCTGCCCACACGAAACTAAATTATTCTCCTTCGCTCACGATGGGTGTGCATATAATGCGTTCCTCAATCGGGCGCGTATGTGCGAATGATTGCGGTTGACAAACCAGCAAAAAAAAAAAAGTCACAGTTTCGCCCCTAGAACGAAGCAATGAATGCAATAGCAAGAAATCAGAATATCACGCGAAAATCGACAAGCGGCTCGATACTTTTAGCACGCCGTCACAGCACAAAGAAGGACGCTAGAAAGCGCATAGGTATTAACTGGACAAGTGTAAACAACCGTCGTAGCTGTAACGTGTTTGTATTTGAGGAAGGCGCTGAAAATGTCCGCAGTGCAGAAGCTGACGATGTTAGATTTTTCTGTTTGATTTCTCTTCGTTTCCGTCTCTTGCCGCGCGATGGTGTCTGACACCTAGTGTGCCCCGTGTTTTTTTTTTTTTTATGCGCATGCATTTTGGTGGTGGTAGTGGTTAGAAGATGAGAAAAGGCACCTAATTTCTGCAACCCGATCGGGAGCACGGCGCAGTGCCTAATGCGCCGTGCTCCCGATTGGGTTGCAGAAATTAGGTGTCTTTTTTCATCTTCTAACCACTACCACCACCAAAATGCATGCGCAAAAAAAAAAAAAATCACACCGCTGGATGCCTGGCGCGGACACCGCCAGGCATACAGCGGTGTCCGCGCGCCAGCAGGTGCTATCTCTCCGCTCTCACTCCCTCTTCCATAGCAACAGCTGCGGGCTCGCGCCCTTACCCTCGCCTTTAGAAACCGGACCGCGTATTTGGAATTGCTGGCCCCGCATCGCAAGAAAGAGGGAAAAGAAAGAGTGCGAGGAGGATGGTAGTGCCGGCCTCAGGATGGCTCGCGCGCTATTGGTTCGCCTCTGGAAGTGACGTGCTGGTGACGCACGTGCTGGTAACGCAGCGACACTGACTAAACTTGCGCACCTGCACCTCATTTTCAGCCATGCTCCCCGCTCTGCCATAGACCCTCTCCGGCTAAGTGGCGCAGCCCCCGCCATAATTCGTGGTAACGAGGGACGGGGTCTGGGTTACACAATAAGGTAGCCAAGAAAAGACTTCAGTTGGGGGCTCCAGCTGCCTATTCAGACGCCGCCGAAGCCTCGGAGAGGGCATTGTTAACTCCCCCAAGATTGCCCGCTTCATGGTTATTTGAAGCAAAGACATAGGGCGAATTTTCGCTCAGCCGCCAATCTCCCGAAGACACGCCGGCAGTCACAGTCGTCGTCGCGGAGTCACGGAACCCCGCCGCGGTGGTCTAGTGGCTAAGGTACTCGGCTGCTGACCCGCAGGTCGCGGGTTCAAATCCCGGCTGCATTTCCGATGGAGGCGGAAACGTTGTAGGCTGTTATGAATTTGCTCTGTCGCGATGGTAGCGGTGGCGAAGAGCGGCGAGCCGTCGAGCGGACTTCGATGAAGCCTTAGCCCGAAGGTGAAACAGGGAGGCAATCCGTTTGGAAAACAGCAACAAAAGGAGCGTTTACTGTAGCAGGTTGTCGTTTGTACAGGGCCGGCCAGCAAGCCAACGTCGGCTGGGGCAAAATCTCCTAACATGGGGCCGGCTCGGCCTTAAATAGCGTCTTTGGTCCATTCTCTCAGACCAGTTCTCGGGCTCGTAGGGGGAGACGTGGCATTACCCGGAACTGCAAAGTGGTTCGGCGGAGGAAACGACGTTATCCCCAGACTGCACAGTTCTCCTGCACAGAAGGCGGCGCTGGGAGGGGGGGGGGAAGACAGTTCGTCGAAACAGGGCTCGATCTTGTCAGACCTGCTCCCGAACAAGGAACATGTCTGTGGCACAACAGCACCCCCGCCGCCAGACAATGCATCCGGAGTTTTGAGCCGTCAGCGCGGCTCGGAAGGAGGGATGCTGGTCGATACTGTAGCCACTCCGTGGTGATCTTCAGAGCCCTGCAGGGAATCACTGGAACGACTGAGTTGAACGCAAAGCCAAACCACTTTCGTGGAAGCAAGCACCCTTTGAACGTCTCTCATAGCGCCAGACCAAGGCAGCAAAGAGATCTATTGAGTCTCTACTATTGTACGTTTTAAAAAGCACGAGAAAGGTATCCCTTAGAGACCTCAAAACACTGGCCCTCACGAATGCTGTGATTACACTGCGCAGTCCCCATGCCAAGAAAGGCCACGCGAAACCATCCCCAATGCCATACGAGCGGGTCGGAACCCCCTGAAGCAGCCCAAAACCAATTCTGTGCTTTTTTTTGAACAATTTTACCAGAATGGTAGAGGCTAGGCTTCCTGGTAACATATCAGAGTACACTTCAAACAAAATTACATCTGTTAGTGCAATGCGACATTGTTGATACAGTTTAAATCAAAACGAAATAATAGACGCCAAAATTATGCAAAACACGTCAAACCAGAAGGATGTGCCTCAACTTGTATGAGGGAGCTGGGCTGCACTTCAATAAGCTCTGCTGAGACCCTCTGCATTTGTGTGCAGCTTCCCTTTCTTATAGCGCACACTAAAGTTATGGTGCTGAAGCGTCAAGCTCCACCTAAGTAAACGACCGCTTTTAGACGACATGTTGTGCAACCAAGTCAAGGGGCAGTGATCAGTTTCTACTATGAAGCTCGACCCTGAGACGTAACATGCTAGCTTACCAATTGCCCAAACAAGGCAGGCGCACTCTTTTTCTGAAGTGCTGTAAGCTTCCTCTCTGACACTGAGCTTTCTGCTGAGATACAAAACTGGCCGCTCGTGCCCTTCGGCGTCCTTTTGGCACAAAACTGCTCCTAGGCCGCGGTCACTGGCATCACACTGAATAATAAAACTATGAGAAAAGTCCGGTGCCGCTAGCACGGGTCGTTTTGCGAGAGCGCTCTTGAGGCTCTTGTAAGCATTCTCTTTTCTTGTGTCCCACGAAATGACGGGGGGCTCGGTTTTGCGGAGAGAGTCCGTCAGCGGACTAGCGAGGTTTGAGTAACCTTTGACGTAGTGTTGATAATACCCCGCCAGTCCCAAAAACGCCCTCAATTCCGACTTTGTGGTGGGACGACGATACTCTAAAACGGCCGCAACTTTCAGCTCGGACGGGCTACGCTGGCCACGACCCACGATCTGGCCGAGATAGCTTACGCTTGCGCACCCTAAGTGGCATTTCTGCGCTCTCACGGTGAGGCCTGCATCACGTAGTCGAGCCAGAACGATTCTCAAGTGAGTCACATGCTCGACCCACGTATCGGAGAATATCGCCACATCATCAAGATACGGCAGGGCGAAATCTCCTAAACCCCGCAACACCCGGTCTATGAGGTTTGAGAAGCAGTAGGCAGCATTCTTTAAGCCGAAAGCAAGCATTAAAGGGTGAAATGTTCCCAATGGGGAAATAAATGCGGCATAACGAGAGGCTCGCTCCGTCAACGGGACCTGCCAGTATCCCCGTACCAGATCTAAGAGGGAGATATATGTGAATTTTGCCACGGTTTCTACTCTCTCCTCGATATTAGGTATCGGATACGTCTGATCTAAAGTGATGTTATTTAGCCGGCGGTAGTCCACGCATGGCCTAGGGTCTTTTCCCGGAACCTCGACTAGTATGAGTGGGGAGGTGTAATCGCTTTCACCTGGAATGATGACCCCCAAGTCACACATGCGGCGGATCTCGGCTTCCATGATCTCTCTTTGCCTCGGCGATACGCGGTAAGCCTTGCTACAGATCGGTTCTTCACTT